CTCATACTCTCTCAATTTGGCTGGTGGTTGAGTGTTTCTTGTTGGTCTACTAGTAACTCTTGCACCTCCTTCGTCTGTCTCCTCAACAATTTCTTCTTGTTCCTCAGTTTCTATTTCTTCTGTCTCTGAATCAGATGGATAGAAGTGACTGTCAGGTTTATTTGATGCCTTGTCTTTCTAGTTCCAGCCTTTTGATTCATCAAACTTCACATCTTTGTTGAACATTATTTTCTTACTATTTGGATCATACAGTTTGTAGGCGCCAGTTGAGTGATAACCAACCATAATCATTACCTAAGATTTATCATCCAGCTTTCTTCTCAATTGATCAGGTACATGTCTGAAACACAATGAGCCAAAAATATTTAGATGTTGAACACTTGGTTTTACTCCACACCATGCTTCTTCTGGTGTCTTGTCTTTCCTCTTCCTTGTGGAACTTTTATTGATGAGATATACTGCAGTAGTAGCTACTTCACACCACAAGTAATGAGGCATATGTTTTTGCTTCAGCATGCTTCTTATCATATTTACCAAGGTTTTGCTCTTCCTCTCTGAGATCCCATTGTGTTAAGGTGTGTATAGTGCAGTGACTTCATGACTTATACCATTTGATGAGCAAAACTCATTAAACTCAGTGGAAGTATACTCACCTCCTCCATCAGATCTTAATCTTCTAATTACTTCACCACTTTCATTTTGAACTAGTAGTTTAAACTTCTTAAACATACCAAACACTTCACTTTTCTTAGCTAACACGTAAATCCATACTTTTCTAGTGAATTCATCTATGAATGTTACAAAGTAGATATTTGCTCCTACTAATTTTACTTCAAATGGTCCACATATGTCAGAGTAAATTACCTCAAGTTTCCTAGTAGCGTTGAATGGTACTTGTGTTATATGAGTTTCTGGCTTGCTTTCCAGTGCAACACATATCACACACTTCATCAGGCAGCTTTATCTTTGGTAAGCCTTGCACCATTTTCTTCTCATGAAGCATATTCAAATCCCTAAAATTGATGTGCCCATATCTTTGATGCCATAACCAATTTTCACTCTTAGTTTCTGATAGCAAGCATTGGTCTTCAATCACACTGATGTTGATTTTGAAAGTTCTTTGCTTCGACAACGGAGCTTTCAGAATCAATTTATTCTTGCTATCAAAAACCTTCATAGCTTGTTCTTTCATATTCATTGTGTACCCCTTTTGCAATAATTGATCAATACTGATAAGGTTGCTCTTCATACCTGGTACATACAGCACATCAGTGATGCATGCTTTCTTGCCGTCCTTCCTATGAATCAATACTTCCTAATTCTAGATGCACAAACTATGCTATTGTCTACAACTCTTATCTTTCTATTAACTGAATTATCTAATTCAGAAAACCAATATTTCTTGCTTGTGATATGATTTGAACATCTAGTGTCCAAATACCATTCATCACTTCTTTCTTCTTCCTCCTTGATTGCTGCCATCAAGAGTACTTCATCAGAATCTGAATGCTCATTTTGAGCAAATTGAGCTTCATCTTTGCTCCTTGGAACCCTCTTTAATCTTCATTCAGATGCATAATGTCCCCACTTCTGACAATTATAGCACTGAATATCTTTCTTATCCTTATTGAATTTTCCTTTCTTCACATACTAGGCCTGCAGTGCTTGATCAAAGGATGCACCTTTACCTCTTTCTTTGATCCTATCAGTCAACCTTAATTCATGTGCTTCAAGACTTGCTTACAATTCTTATATTTCCATAGAATTTAGATCCTTAGACTCCTCTAAAGCAACCACAATGTGATCAAATCTTGGTACTAAAGTTCTGAGAACTTTCTCAACCTTCATCACATCAGTGAAAGTTTCACTATTTCTTGTCATCTGATTTATGAGATTGATCACCTTATCAAAGTATTAACTGGTGGTCTCTTCTTATTCCATTATCAACACTTCATGTTGTCTTCTTAATGCTCGAAGTCTCACCTTCTTCAATTTACCATCCCCATAATACAATTTCTCCATTGCATCCCATGTCTCCTTTGCACTTTCATAATGCATGATCTTCTCAAAGATTTCATTACTTACACTCTGATGAATCAAGAACATGGCTTTCCCATCTTTCTTCTTCAATTTTTATGTGTCTTTTGTTGTGCCTCAGTTGCATTTGCTGCTAATGCTGGTACACTTTCGTTCACAACTTCAAGAACATCCTGAAACCGGAAGATCACCTTCATCTTTATAATCCATTGATTGAAATTCTTGTCTTCGAATACTGGTAGATGTGCAGGAATATTGTTGTTATGAGTTGCCATTCTTCATGAATTTTCTATCAAAAATGAAGGGACTGAGCTCTGCTATACCAATTTGATAGAACAAATATGAAATAATGAAGAAAAGCTAAGCAAGACTGTTTGTGAATAATTGCATAAGTAGACTAGGGTTTCTTAGAGATTAAGAGAAAGAGATAAAAGGGTAAAGCTATTTTATTGATGATTGAGTTACTGTTTTATTTACAAGACAAATAAAGCTATTTATACATCAAGAAATGTATTACTAATTGAAGCTAATTACAACAGTATTAAAAACAGATTCTAAGTAATTGAATCACTAAAACCAATAAATGTGTTGTTCTTCTAATTTTAATATGTTCTTTTTGTAATGCTCCTTAGATTTCTTTAAATGGTGTTGCTCCATAATTACGTTATCTTTCTCATTGGAACCATCAATGCCATATTTCATCGGACACTATTGATATATGTTGAATAGTTTGGTCCAATTGGTTCTGCTCCCTAAAACTGTGAGAATGTTGTTGCATCCAATTTAGAGAGCAAGATGGGTTTTGAGTTTAAGATTCAAAAATAAATTTTTAGTTTTGGAAAAGAAAATGAAGAATTAAATTAAAACCTAAAAAAAAATAGTGTCCATTTTTTCCATCACTAAGGTTAAAATAATTAACGTCATTGATAAAATTTAGACGGAAAATACTAATCTTACATGTTTTGAAAAATTGAAGAATTAAAATATTCGTTTTTAAAATTGAGGATCAAAATAAACCCTGATGTAAAGTTACATATATTTTGCCAATAAACTAATAAGTCAAAATATCCTAAAACAATATGGACAGATTTTTGAAGTGGGTAAGATAGCTAACAAAAAAAATTGAACTAAACATTCTCACTAATTCCTTTGTCAATATAAATGAAATTTTTGTTTTAGGCCACTAGGGTACTAAAGTAATTGCTTTTAAGTAATTGCTTTTAAATAGATTGTTAATTTAATTTAAAGATGATACCGTTACCTATCTTAATTTTTGATTGAGTGTATTGAGCTGGAAAGACAAGTTTGCTAGTGAAGCAAAACCCATTTATTCTTCGAAATCTAAGAGCAAGTTGCAGCAGACACAGCATGTGCATACAGATAGATAAAGAGACACACTTACATAAATTTAAGACACTATTCACAGATACTTGAATATTTGTCTCATGATCCTAAAGGTTAATTTAAGAAGACTAAAATATTAGGTTAAACAAAATAATAGTAATAAAAAAACACAGTTTATTTGTATCCAGAAAACATTACAGCGTTACCATGTTGAATAAAAAAGAAAGACACATTTAGTATGTCAAACACTAGTAACATAAAAATTACTTAAAAAAAGGTTTAGAAGAGGTCATAAAGAATAAATAAATACTACATTGACATCTAGTCAATAAATCTTATCTTGACCAGTAGTGTTGCATTGCCAAGAGATTAGGTTCTAGATGGCTAAAAGCCAAGTCAAAGTCCACATATTCCATTGACTTGACTGGAAATTCATTATTTCACTCAAATTTTACATAACTGTGGACTGCATCCAAAACTCATCCATAACATTGAACACCCATACATATTCGCAAAATAGCAAGTACCTGATATATCAATTTTACAAGCAAAATACAAGACAGGACGAAAAATTCATGTGTTTCTCCGATCTCCTACCATTTGTTTTGTCCAATTTCATGATCACTTTCTACATCGAAATAGTACAATAAAAAGTTGTCCTATTAGTAACTTTTTCTTTGCCAAATCAAACCCAGCCTAAAGGTTTTATACAATGTCAAAAGACAATATTTTTACTAAAAGTAAAAAAGTAAAATTGACATCCATTTTTAAATAAAATTTCTTTAACAACATTCACTTACAAATTCATCAGAGATTCAATATAGGACAGAAAGGGGAAGAGAGCTATACATATGACAGAAACCTTAACAAGGAAAAAAATTGACCAAATAAGACATAACAACAAAAAGCTAGTGATTTTCCTAATTTCAAGGTTTGAATTTTTCATGCATTCACACACAGTCATCTATCTACATCAAAGATTGGACAGGCCACATTTTTTTATTCGACAGGCCACATTCTTATATCAGAGTTGGAACATGAGTTGTCAAATTGTGATCCACCAATCCATATAGCATGACTGTGTCAAATGTATGATTCTCTGTCTACTAGGAATCTGGATCTGGCTAGTGACTGTGTGAAGAGTGGCTCAAGAGGGAGGAAACACTAGTACATTCTCTGTCTACTTAGGATTTGATTACATGATCAAATGCACTTTTGAGATAAACTGCTAGAACAAAAATCTTTGTTAAATCATAGTATTATCCAGAACACAAAATTGTAAGTACATGAACCAAAAAAAAAAAAATAGAAGATTTATCAAATAATTATTCATAAACAAAATCAGCTACAATGAGGATAAGCAAGGAGTATGAGAAGATTGGTTATACAAAGGAAAATCTCAAGACAATAACAAGAGGGGAGAAAAAAGCAAACAGTATTTCACAAGATTTTTTTAACTACAAGAACCCTCCCCCTTACCACTTAATTCTTGGAATAAACTTCAATTCAAATCAACAATCTTCCTATACAATCCCTTGCTCCTTTTGTAGTTTTCTATTTCTATGAAAGCAAAATCAAACTATACTGTTATCATCACAAATTCTAAATTTCATCACAAGTTACTCAGCATTGTTTGGCCTACTACCAAGAGAGTCGAGCCCTTCGGTCCGGCTCCGCACAATTCTATGGAAAACTTCCCTCACTTGGCGCTCCAACGGATCGAGTCCATCTTTCAAAGCATCACAAACCTTTGACACCTCTTGAACTCTCTGCCTAACTTCCACTTCCTTCTCCTCTGTCAACGGAAACTGCGCCGAATCAGCCAATTCACTCATCTGTCTAACAGATTTCTCAATCTGTTGAATCTCTCTAAGCAAGCCACAAGCATTCTTTCTCTCGCGCTTCTTCGACTCCTCCAAGATCCTATCGTGTAGCGCTAGCAACGGAATAGCCCAAGTGTAGCTCCTTGGAATGGTGAAATGCACTTGCAAACCACGGTCTTGACAAGGAATAGCAGCCACAAGAGCCCACATAACAAACAACAATACTGAATTCATAACATACACCGACATCGCAAGACCATTCGTCGCAATAAGATCATTCGCTTTAGGAGGATTAATGTTGTTCCCAATTGCTTGGAGTTGTCTAGCAGCAGACCAAGTACGAGAAACACTCCACGAAAGTGATCTAAAATGCCCCAAAGACTGATGTTGATAGTTGTTATTCCCATGACTATTCCCATGGCTGTGATCCTTCTCTCTACCACCATTATTCCTCCCGAAAGACCGATTCCTCTGCGCAACATTTGAATCCTTATTATCGTCAAGCATACTAATGGACAAATCAATCAGCGCCTTCTTCGCTCTCCGAAACTGCCCTTCACCAATACTCCTCTCATGATCCAATGCATAAAGAACAATCTCCAACAGCTTCTGCCAAAGCCGAATCTGCTCAACCCCATCACGAATCGCATTACAAACATCCAAAGCCTTCACACTCCGCTCAAAATAATCCGACACCATTCGATCCAACGGCGATCTCGATGCCTGTCTCTTATGGCTATAAAGGATAGCCTTAAACTCCTCCTGACAAACCAGAAAACAATCCAGAAGCTTCCCAATCCATTTCAACGAAAGCAAATCCTCCTGACCAACAGAAGATAGATCAAGGAAACGATCAGTAACATGCTCTTGAAAACCATCCAGTTCAATCTCTAAGGTTGACCCTTCCATTGAATGAACCTGTTCACGACGAAAGCTTAGAATTGAACGACCGAACTGCGTTAACGATGAAGGAGACGAACTCTGATAGTCCGTCGCTGGCATTCTCGCAGCAAACTCTCACCAATTCCGAAACTTTCAACCTTCGATTTTAAATTTCAAAATGCTGAAACCCTAAAACAGAATTTTCTTCAAATCAAACAAACAAACTCAACAATCAAAGGAAAGACAATAAATTGAAGATTGAAAGTTAAGAATCCGAAAGAAAAGAGAGAAAATTTGAAGAGAAAATGAAAAAATGAGAAAATGAGAAAATTAGGGAATTAGGGAAGAAATTGAGACATGGAACCCTAGTAGGAAGGTGAGGGGTTATATTGTGACAAATGGACCGCGTTTTATGGTGGTTGGAAAAATGAGAAAAAAAATGAATACGAAAAAAAGAAAAAAATGGAAAATGTTTTTCTTTAATTAGAGTAATCAAGTGTTTACCTTTTAATCTTTAGGTAATTAAGGAAAAGATTAAGGTTGAGCGAGAATTTATGAACACGTACCGAACACGTTTGAGACACGGTGTAAATAACTTAGATTCTAAAATTAACGGTGTGGATTTTGAGGAGGGAAATAAGGAGTGTATCTGAGCCGTTGATTTTGGTTTGGACAAAAACAATTGAATTGTTCCCCGAAATGACACAACCCGAGAGGAAGAGTGGTTTTTTTTTCTTTTTTTTTTTTGAAACTGTCAACATGACACGTGGCGGGATTCTATAACTTGGTGTCATGTTGAAGTGCTTTTTGGAGGAGAAAAATATATCGTAATACAAAATTAATTTTCTAATTTATTATATATAGAATTTTTTAAGCTTGAGGAGTATTACGCATGGCAAATAAATTCGTTTCTGTCAAGACTCGATTGCTACCGTCTCGAAATTAACGGGAAAGTGCGGATGTAGAGAAAATTCAATTTTTATTTACGGATGCGGGTGTAGAGAAAACTCAATTTTTATTTACGGGTGCGGATGCGATGACGGGTGATGTTAGTATCCGCCCTACACCCGCATCCGCCTCGTACCCACAATTAAATTAAATTTCATTTATTTATTTTTAATAGTTTTATTACTCATTTATATTTTTTAATGATATAATATTATATTTATTAAATTTTTTTCTTTCGAAAATACAATTTAAATAAAAAATCAAACATAAAAAATATTTTTAAAATAATTAATTATTTAATTTAATTATTGAATTTTATTTTTATTGAAAAAAGTATAAATTAAAAAAAATTATTCGGGCGAATGTAGGGCGGGTGTGGAAAAATCTGTTTCTTATTGGGGACGAGGGCATGGAAATAAATATTAGCCCTGGCCGAATTTAGGGGCGGGAATGGAGACGGGTCTGAGTCTAGGTGGCGGGTGCGAGTCTGATGTGTTGAAACCCGTCCCCAACCCGCCATGTTGCCATCCCTAAGGAATATATTAAAAGAGTATTAGTTTAAATAATATAGAAGGTAAAAAATAAACGACAATTTAGATAAAAGTATAAATAAAAGAGTTGATGTAAATTAATATTACATATATGATTGATTAAAATATTTATGCTTATCGTATCATATCAGTAATTTAAAAATAAAAATATCTTTTAATTAGATATATGTCTCTCATTGATTGACAATATAAAAATATTTTACATTGTTAGTGGATATTTTTTCTCTAAATAAATATAGAATGTTAAAAGAAATTTAAAAGTTTAAATATTTAAGAGATTCGTTGCACCAATTATTAAGATCATATAAAAATGACATACATATAACATATGGTATTAATAAGAGTCGTCTTGAGGGTGTATAAGGCAGCATATCGCATAGGATTCAAAATCTAACATCTAAAATTTTAATTTATTTTTCCACTATTAAACAATGATTAATTTATAGAAGATCTCCAAATACGCGAGACGACTATGGTCTTATAACATGATCAACAATTTTAGACGATAACATTTTCTTGCGCTTGAATAACCTGCTATTATGATCGAACCAACTAATCCAAACATAAGGTGATCTAATGGCTCGAAGACAATCACATGAATCTTTTTGAAGCTCGAAAGACCACTAAATTGTTGGGTATGATGAACACTATTATTTGTCAGATTAAAAATTTTATTTGTAAAATGGTCATAAACTTTTATCTAGTAAAGAGAGATTAAATTATTTTACCCTTCGAACACTTAAACCTCATTTACGCATGACTAAACACATTTTGTCCTAAAGAGCTCATGAACTTTGCGAGCTTCTTCATAAAAAAAATTTAAAAAAAATATTCAACTTTAAAAAATAGTATCTTCAAAGAGTTTTTAAGAAATAAAGTAAACTAGAAGTTATGGCAAGGTAAATACGACCAATATGAGACGTTCTTCCATAAAAAATGATGGATTATCATAAGGGAGAAGCATTTACATTGAATCAAAGACTCAAATGAACAAGCGAGAGAAAATCACAAATTCACCCAAAATCTTAAGGTGATAGTTGTATGGGTCTTATCACTTATAAAGTGTTCAACATTCACTTGTTTCTCAAGCAATGTGGGACTTATCACGCTTGTTTCTCAACAATCTCTCCATCAAATATGAGTTTATCCACTGTTCTCCCTCAAGAAGATGCTCTTTCATCCACATACTTGTCCCGTCGTTGTCATACACCCTTACCACGTCATTGGCATTTCAATAGAACACGTCGTCTGACCACCTCCATGTTAGGAAGATTTTCGATACAAGGAATATGTCTCTTACTCGAACCATTATCTGATACTAATGAACGGTCATCATGACAAGAAAATATTTATATTGGGCTACTCTCAATAAACAAAAGAAAGGATGAGGGGTTCTGTCAAAATATATATTTAAAACGATTCGGATATGCAATTCTGAAAACCCCTTGAACTTAAATTATGGGGTTGGTTCGGAGATTCACATGCGAAACCCCCTTAATATTGACAAAAAAGTTGTTCCAGACATGCATATTCGAATAGCCCCTATAAATATGTAATGTAGTGAGTTCGAATATATATCTGAATGTCGGGGGTATTTGTGAGTTTTCATCAAAGGCCTCTAAGAAAGTGTACAAATGTATTAAGAAATTTCCAAAATTGTTATCTTTCCAACAATAGAGCCTCTTGATAATCTTTTCTAAGGGTGTTTGCAGTGCGGTTTGAATGGTTTTAACATTAAAAGTCATCTGAATCGAAATAGAAAAAACATGTGGTTTGGTTTAGTTTGGTTTGGTTGGCTTTTAGGAAAAAAACGAACCAAACCAAACTAAACCAATGCGGTTTGGTTTGGTTCTGTTGATTCAGTTTTTTACAAGTACTTTATTGAGTCATACACACACATATATATCACAACATAACTTTGTATTTAGTCATTTATACACTACCAAATAACAATAAAACTTATCATATTTGACAATAATTGTCTATTTAATATGTAAAACTTATATTAGACAAAAGTGAAATAATAAACATAAAATAATAGAATAAAACAATATCAAAAATATTATAGTGAAACAAAAAAAAATAGATGAGATGAGAGATTAGTGAATATGAAAAAGAAAGAACATAAGAGAGGAAATATTAGAGAAGTAGAATTGCGATAAAAATGAATTTGGAAGAGAGAACAGTTGTATAAAAATGAGAAGGTGAAAAAGAAAAAATATAAGAGAATAGAAATTAGAGAAGAAAATGCAATATGTATGTGACAAATAAGGCGCGATAATGTTATGAGATATTTGAGAAGACTGAATCAGAAATCCTAAGTGTAAGGAACAAAAAACCGTTTGTAATCATAAGACTAAAGTATAACAGGGTTAAGTTTGAGTTGGATGTGAGTTAAATAAAATTTAGGTTATAACATAACGCGTTTCGATTCAGTTTGGTTTGGTTTCTAAAATACAAATTACAAACCAAATTAAACTGTGCAGTTTTGCTAAAATATGACTCAAACACATGCGAATCAAATGCGATTTTTTACAATTTCAATTTAGTTTAGTTTAATTTGTAATTTTTTATTCGTTTGATTCAATTTTAAACACCTCTAATCTATTCAATAAAAACGTTTATGAAAGATGGATTTATTGAATTCTTGCAATGGATTGTCCTACATAATTTAAAAGAACTATACCTATTTTGTATTTCAATACATTAGAAACCTATTTAATAGAAATCATGGAGTAATGATAATAATAAATTATTGAGATTTAATTTTTGTTTTTGCTTGTTTTTTATGTTTTTTTATTAATAAGTATTTTTCGAAAAAATAGTATGAAAAATGGGAGGGGCCGAGTCTATATAAAAATTATTCATGAAAAATGAGTGATATAATAAAATAAATTGGGATATTTTGCGTTAGCACATATGGCAGATGCAACCGAGTCTACGTTGGCGCGTGAGAAAGAGGAGGGACTGAGTCTCTATTTATTTGATTTGATTTCTAGAAAAAGAAATGGCGATTATGAGATTGAGACTGTCCAAGCAAATAATAACCAATCGGAAGGGTGGATGGACTCTTTCGTTCATTTTTTACTTTTGAGTTCTTGGACTCTTTCATTCATATACCTTGTCCTTATTATTTCTATTATAGATTATAGATTATAGATGTGAAATAACACTCACTTTCATCTATCGCCACAACTTTTTTTTTTGTTAAAATGGTGATATATTTTTGCTTGGACTTAATTCAAATGCATTAATAAAATGTAATTTTTTTATATTATCCATTAACTATTACTATGATTAAACTTTATATAAGCAATTTTAGATATAAAGATCGCCAAATGTAAAAACTTTTAATAAATATACATAATATTTAAAAATATAATCAATTTTTAAGGGGTTAAACTCGAAAAAATTGTACATTCGGAATTTTTTTAGAACAATTTAGTTTGAAAAAATATATGTATTTATATTTGATAATTTAGTATTTTTTTTAAAGACTTGATAATTTAACGTTTGATATATAATAATTGGATAAAAATTTCAAGAAGTAAGATGCAGAATTACTTGAAAGGGTAAAGTAAATGTCGAAAATCATAAAAGGAATCGAGTAAAAATGTTTAC